CCCACCCCACCCTCACCCCCCTACCCCCGCCCAGGGAAGAAAAAATTACACAAGGACCACTGAAACTCCATTAGCCCAGAAAGAGCAGCCTGAAAAGAAGCAGGGCAATGAGGGACCCTAGATCCCAAAGTTTGGTGTAGCCTTTGTGAATAGAACCTAGTTACAACCAAAGCATCTGCAAGGCCAGTGAGTTCTGGGAACAGGTTCTGCATCAGGACAGAAAGCTTTACTGGTCACTCAGTTTGTTCTTATATTTCTTATTTTCCCTATGTTTCCTTCTTTGATATCAAGCAAAGTTCCAAATTGTCCTGTGTCACAATAAACTTGAAAGCAGAGATTTCTCTTACCTATTCTTCAGCTTGAAGACTTGAGAACCATCAGCTTAACAAAAATGTACTTCAAGTGGAACAATCTTCCGAAGGAAGAGAGATTTTAGAGGACAAGAAGGGTTGTGGAGTCCAACCATTCTTCCCCATCTGAAAGTTCTCTTTTCAATACTGTATCGTAAATGTAGTGGTTTTGTTTTATTATATAATATTCTTGGCCTGGGGGTGTGACTCAGTGGTAGAGTGCTTGCCTAGAATGCACCAGACTCAGGGTTCCACCCCTAGCACCACACACATACACAAAACAAAACCTATACTCTAACATTTCTGCTACTCAACTGTGAGCATCACTGTCATGCACACACACAATGAGAGCACATTAGTAACTCAACTGTCTAATGGGATGAATGAAGCAATGCTTGGACTTCTCAGTTTTAAAGTGTGGAAGGCCACTCAGGTCAATACTTTCCCCACAAATGTATATTTGTCTACATAAGGTTTTCATGGGTCTTCAAAATATTCACTCAAGCCGGGCGTTGGTGGCGCACGCCTTTAATCCCAGCACTCGAGAGGCAGAGGCAGGCAGATCTCTGTGAGTTCGAGGCCAGCCTGTTTTCCAGAGTGAGTGCCAGGATAGGCTCCAAAGCTACACAGAGAAACCCTTGCCCAAAAAAAAAAAAAAAAAAAAAAATCACTCAATAAGTATCAATTAAATCCAGAACGATTAAGACTCTGTACTTCCAGAAACAGAGTGGAGGAAGGTCCTACAACAGTCACTGATACAACAAATATTCAGGGACTCCTGCATGCCAGGCACTATGTAGATCAATCACTACAATCAATGAGACACACAAACCTCACTAAAGAATTCACAGAAGACAGAACAGACATGAAGTACGTACACTACTGTTTAAAACAAAAAATACTATGTGTTTTCAAAGGTACACATAAAGACTATAATAAGTCAGAGGTGGAAAAAGGAAACAAGGGTTTCCTAAGAACAATGCTATACAACATTATTTCTAGCTGACCCTTGTAGTTCAATAATGAATTGGCAAAGCAGCTAATGATAATGTCTTTGTAAGTGTTGGTAAAAAAAAAAAAAATCAATATTCTGTCTTCCTATCTTTAGCATTATATCAAGAGGCACTAACATTGATTTTGAAAAGCAAGAACACAGATCAATTCTCTTTTAGTGAAAACTACAACTAAAAATGCTCCCTAAAACAGTTACTTTCATGGCTGAGTAACTCAAAGAAGCATAGACTTGCCAACCTGAATAATAAAATTTACAGAGCCAAGGACCCAGATTTTTGTAGGGGCCTATTTTACAGTAACTCAACAATAAGATAAATTCTGTTATACACTCTGCAAAATAAGAAAGCAAAAGAGAACTAAACACTGCACTTCCTTTGTCCTGTGATGAAATGAAACTTACTCTTCACTTTCTTCCACATACACTGTTAGCTTCTCTAGACACTGAACTATCACCTCCACTCAAGCTGTTTCCTTCAAGGAAAAGACATGGGCCTGGGAGTCAGATGCTCCAAAACTAATCTTAAGGAGCTGGCGTCTGACAAGCTTTTTCCTCCTCTGACTCGATTCACTGAACTTATGAATTGCTTACAAATTAGGAATCAATTTCATCTCTAGTAATGGAGAGGAAGACAATTATCAATATAGTTCTTCAATATATTTTATGGAAAATATTCCCAGAATATAATTCTTTGATGCACACAAAAAAGTAAGCCCAGAAGAAGTCTGACGCAGTCTAAGCATGTGGCTCCAAAGGAAAAAATTAAGCATTGTCATAAGACTTATTTATGAATTTCAAAAGTCTCCCACATCCACTTCATTCGATTTCTTCTGTTCTTCCAGGGCTGACTGCCATGTAACATATGTTGGCAGTGTTTCCCCACGGATCTGCATAGGAAATGAAGCAGGTGCCATTTATACCAAGCATGATGCAGATGTAATACACTATCCTATTTATATGCAAGGACCTAAGAAACAAATCAAGTCAAAACGTTTGAGTTTGTCTTTGAGAAAGTGATGAAACTATTTTAAAAACAAAAAGAAGTGAACACTTTTGCTACCTTTGCAATTTTAGGAGTCATTATGGAAGAAAACTACCTCAGCATGGTACCAATTTCAATTAAGAAAACCTAACTACTTGATTGAAGCTAAAAACCCAGATAGTCACATACCTCTACCATGTTATAATTGTTTTTAGAATGCTTGTAGATAATACCCAAGTAGTAATTTCATATATATTACCCTAGTTCAGGGCAGCATTCCTCTGGAAATCAAAAACACAGTGCAAGGAAGAATACTGAAGGCAGAACAACTAGAGTTACTTCTGCTAACTAAGCAAACGGAAAGGAAGCAGGCAAAGGGAAGGAACTCAAGCAGTTGTCTGCAAAAGTGATGCCTGGCAATTTCCAGACACTTCCCCTTGAGCTCCAAGACATAAGATTTTTAGGAAAGGAAGGCACTACAGGCAAAAGCCCAAAGTTGCTCTCTTCACAATTTAACAATCCTTGAGTTCGGTCAAAGATGTCCTGGAGAGACACAGATCGGTGGACTGTATAGAAGAAAGCAGTGGTGTTTCCTTTCTCGTTTGGGGAGCCAAGAACTGGACAAACTAGCGTCCCTAAATCATCTTGGTGCAGCGGACTTATTCCAAGCTAACACACCTGCAAGGCCAGGCGGCTCCTCCCTCTGCCCCTCCCATCCCCGAAACTGGACACTGGTCAAGTGTCCCGTGCACCGTTAGCCCAAAGGCCACTCGGACTCTGCCAGGAGACAGTCCCCGCGGCCGACCGAGGCCCCAGCGCTCGGAACCGAACCAGTAGGCGCGGTCTCCACTCCCACCAATCCCGGCCGGATCTCCGCGCGGCCGAGGGGCAAGCAGTCCGTACCTGTCTTCCGAGACGCTGATGACACCCTCCTCCTTAGGCACGATCACCGCCATGTTCACCACCTCCTGCGACCCCTCGACCCGTTGCAGCAGGATCGGCTTGCGGGTCAGGGGCTGGGGCTGGATCTCCGCCGCCATCGGAGGGGGCGCGCCCGGGGAGCAGCCGACCGCGCCGGGGGGCTGGGCTGAGCAGACAGTTCAGGCTCGCACTCAGGATCCGGCTGAAATGCGAAGCGGGCCTTTGGCGACCATAGCCCTGCCGCCTGTCTAGGGAACGTGCCCACTCTGGCTTCTCGAACCAATCCCGCCGCCACACCGGCTGAGAGCCGGCGCCACCTAAGAGAGCAGGGGGCGGGGAGCGGGGGCGGGGCAGGGGCGGGGCCTGCCGCAGGGCGGCCCGCTCCACTTCCGGAGGATGGGCCCTGGAGGCCAATGCGCGTGCGTCAACCCAGCAGCCACTTCCGCTCCTTACCCTCTTCCCCCTTAAACTTTACGAGGCGTGCGGCTCCGCTGGGACGCATGCGCTCTGTTCCCGAGGTTCCCTAGCCTACCTTCCACACCCAAAACTTAGTCGTGTTCCCTCCCCCGCCCCGCCCCGCTTTGTGAACACGCTTGCCCAGAGCCCCACCCTCTCCAGACTCCAAAGAACAGGGCTGGGAAAAGCCTGCGTCATCGCGATCCGAAAGGATCATGTAAGAAGGACAGATGCTAAACTAGTTGTGGAGAGACTGTGCATGCGCGCTGATGCCTCGCCTCTAGGTTTTAACAAAAATGCACCGGGGAGGGCGCTGTGCTGTCGGCCAGAATTAAGCTCCCGCTCCTGCCAGCACCGCGTGGACTCCTGGGTATTGTAGTTTTCTTCATTCTCCCCGTCCTTGTTCCAGAAGGCCATAACGCCCACTTCTCAGCCCTGGGGGAGAGGTGTGGGTAAAGGAAGCCCAGCGGCTTCTGTGGATTATTGCCCAAGTCACTGTCAGAACTAATATCTAAGGTAGAGAGCTAAAGAAGAGCAGGCCCCGTTGAGCAAGACTTCTCTCTGTGTCACACTGCCTCCCCCTTGTAGTGGGGTATGGGAGTAGGGAAAGAAGAGACTCATACAGGCTTCCTTGAGGGGGTTCTGGGATCACGATGTCAATCTTCTCTGTGTTATATGACTAAGGACCCACACTTGAACATAGGCCTTTTTGTCCGCTCGTTTCCAGTCTCCAGCAATTAAACATGTTTGCATTCTCCAGTGACAATGGACAGTTAATATAATAACAATAAGGTACAGAATGACTATAATAAAGAAGATAAACGTTGACTGGGCTCTGGAAAAATCTGGACAACTAGGTATCTGTGGTGCCTATTAGCATACCAAAATGCACTCTAGCCTCCAGATTCACTCAGTACCCATGGCTCTTCTCAGCTCTCCTCGCCCTGCCCCCTACCCTGAACTTCTCAAGCTCACCGGCCCCAGCTTCTCCTTGACTGGCCTCCAGGTCACTTCCTCAGCTTCTCATTCCTATATAACCTTGACCTCCCTCCCCCACTTCTCTCTTCTCTCTTCATCTTCCCCTCTCCCCTCTCTCTCCTTTCATGGCCTGGTTGAGTCTACTAACCGTGTTTAGTCTACTACTTTCTCTCCCGGCTCTGAACTATTCAGATGTGGCTGGCTATATACTCTGCAATGTATCTACATTCCCACCTGCAGTGTATGAAGGAGTTCCAATTTTTCCACAGCCCAGTCGACGTTTGTCCTCTTTGTTATAGTCATTCCATATCTATAATGAAAACCTTCTCTTCAGCTATACTTTGGAGTGGTCAGGTCATTACTTAAGACAGCTACCATGTGACCTGGCAGTTTCACTTCTGCATATAGAACAAAGAAAAATGAAAATGACCTCATACAAAACTGAATGTGATACTTGTGCTGGCTAGTTTTTGTCAGCTTGACATGAACTAGCATCATCTGGGAAGAAAACCTCAATTGATGATTTTCTTGATAAATATTGATATGTGAGGGCCCAGCCCTCTGTAGGCAGTGTGTCATGCTTTATATCAAATAGAAAGCTGAACAAGCCATGGGGGAACCCTCTTCTAAACAAGCAACGTTCCTCTGTGGTTTCTTCTTTAGTTCCTGCCTCCAGGTTCCTGCCTCAAGATCCTGCTTTGGTTTTCCAAGGTAATGGACTATAACTTGTAAGATGAAATAAACCCTTTCCTCCCCGAAGTTGTTTTTGGTCAACACTATGTCTTGGACAGTTCTGTGGGAGAAAGGTATAGGACTGAAGATCTTTCAGCTAGAAAACCCATTAAGTGTTCAAGAGATAATATGTGAACTGGGAAGATAATGCCTGGAGAATAATGTAATAGCCAAGAAGTGTGTATAACCTCAGTATTTACTAACAGGTGAAATGCTGCAACAGTGAGACATTATTAAGCATAAGAAATGAAATACAGATATATGTTACACATAGGAGAACCTTGGAAGCAAAATGCTAAGTGAAAGGGACCAGTTAAAGGACCATTTATTTTATTTTAAGATTCCACTTACATAAAATGTCCAGAGGAGGCAAATCTATGAAGACAAAAATCCGATTAGTGGCTTCACAGAATTGGGAAGTCTGAGGATGTTTGGGGTTCATGTATGTCCATGTGCCATGTATGCACCTGATGCCCAGGAAGGTCAGAAGAGGGCATTGGATCCCCTGGAACTGGAGTTATGGACAGTTGTGTGAGCTCCCAGTCAGTGCTCTGAATCAAATGTGGTTCCTCTGGAAGAGTAGCTAGTGTCTTAACTGCTGAGCCATCTCTCCAGAACGTTTTTTTTTATTTATTTTATATCACGTGTATAAATGTGTGCCTGGGTGTGTGTGTGTGTACCACAAGTATTCAGGAGCCCATCAAAAATCAGAGGAGGTAGATCCCCTGGAACTGGATTTATAAACTATCATGAACCACAATATGGATGCTTGGATTTAAACCCAGGTCCTCTAACAAGTGCTCTTAATTGCTGAACCATCTTCCTAACCACTACCAAGGCGATTTTTGATAATTGGATTAAAATGAGTTCTATTGGATTAACTTTTCACTCTTTGATGGCCAATTATGGAAGACTGTAAGGCAAGGCAAAGGGTCACAGCAGACTCCATAGCCCATTCTAGTAACATACAACATATATATTTTTGTGGCACAATCAGAAACCAAAACTGGTGATAGAAGTCTGGGTGGAGATCTGGGACCCTGGAGTCATCTGATGAAATACACAGGAATCCAGGTACACACAGTGGTCTGAGACCCATAGAGGTAGTAGGTCATTCATTAATGGACACTAACTAATAGGTAGCCATACAGCAACCTTCAGGTAGGAATTCAAGAGCAAGAGTCAAATCCCTGGCAACAGAGGAAAAACACAAAGGACTGTGGAGGTAGAGGAACAATTGTTCCAAACCAAAGGGACGAGATAGGAGATGAGTGCTTCACAAGGTGGCCTGGAGCAAATGACTTAAACCTTCTGTGAGTTATGGGTGGATAATCCTAGTGCCAACTTTATACAGTGGTCATACAAGAACAGAAAGAGGAGGAAGAGGATATGGAAATGATCCTTCTTTTGGAGGAATAATTCCTCTATATTGCAAGGGACTGCTATAAAGGACAATGGCAAGACGTAAGGAATTGGAAAAAGTTAAAGAGAAGAAAGGGGGTAGAGGTGACACTTTTATCTCAAGACAAAGGAATGTAATGGTGAGAAATGGATTACTAGTAAGGGGCATGGGTCACCAGTCAGAGTCAAACCGTCTCACAGTACTGAAAGTATCAGATTTTCAAATGTCAAAAGTCCAGGGATAAGAAATTAAAGCTAACTTCCTCTTTCATTTTGTAAGTCAATTTAGAATTTAGTTTGGGACTTGAGTGGGTTTTCTTACTGACTCAATTATATACTGGTGACTCCGAAGACTCTACAGTGTACAGGCACTATGACAAATCACCCTACTCCGGAGGAATATCTTGTATTCCAATCAAGAACACTAGAAAACATTCCTTCTGCCTTCTTCGTTTCCTCTCCCTTTCAGCAGCCACATGAGCTCCTTCAGCAGGACGGTTTGGTGGAGACTGGGGATGTAGGTCAGTGGAAGAGTATCAGCCTGGCATACTGGAAGCCCCAGACTCCACTCCTAAAACAGAAATTAATAACTAAATGAATAAACAAACAAATAATAAATATATAAATAAATGAAAACTCTAAAATCTGATGATTCTAGAGCTTGATTCCACCAGAATGACTGGAAATTTTTTAAAATGTAAATCCCTAGACTCTGTCCCTTAACTGGTGAATCTGTGCTCTTAGGAGCATGGCTTAAATACTGTAGAAAGTGTTTCCAACTACCTCTAATGTAGGGAGCCCTCCAAGTCTAGTTTAAAATACTCAATAAAGAGCTCATAGGAAAGATACCTTGGTCAGCCTAGACGCAAGGTAGGGGGCGGGTGGTGGAGAGGTGCCTTGGTCCTGCCTCAATGAGATGATGGGAGAGAATTAGTAGACACCTAGGGGAGGCCTTACCCTATCCACAGAGCAGATGGGAGGTGGGGAGGAAGTGGGAGGAATGGGAGGAGAGGAGGGAGGGGGCAACTGGGACTGGAACGTAAAAAATAAATTAATAAAAGAGCTCATAGTAAGATTGAAGGCAGTGTGGAAGTAGGGTCTCCAGCAGGAGGAGTAGCTCTGATCTTTTTTTCTTCCTCAAGGAAGGACCATGTAGGCTGTTGGGTTTCCCACTGTTGTTAATGCATGCTTATGTTTAGGCAGGTATCTTTGCTGTTGTCCAGCGAGTAAGAGAACAGCTGGTCTTCCTGTACTCAGTTGTTCTGGGAACTGCCATGAAAGTGCTTTTGTTTAATGTGTGTGTGTGGGGGGGTGTGGGTGTGGGTGTGGGTGTGGGTGTGTGGGTGTGTGGGTGTGTGTGTGATATGTGTTTGGGTGCCATTGGAAGCCAGAAGAGGGTGTCAGATCCTGTGGAGCTGGAGTTACAGAAGGTTATGAGCCACTTGAGTCCTCTGCAAGAGAGGTACACAGTCTTAACTGAGGAGCCATCTTTCCAGCTCCCACTTGTTCGAGTTTGAGACCATGTCTCATTGTGTAGTCAGAGCTGGCATTGACACTCCTATACTGAGATTATAGGTGTATGCCACAGTGCCTGAGTAAACACAATAAACACAAGTTTTTTGATTTTCAATTTTAGGCTTTTGGTTATTGCGAGGTTTTTTCTTAATCTTCTCCATTTCCCCTGCTTTAACCTAGACAATATGTGCCAACAGTAAGGCTTTACACATAATGAGGAATGAAGCTAGATATACCTACCTATCATCTACCTAGTATCTAC